TGATAAAACTCCTGTAGAAAGAACGTTTGAAATGAACCTGGACTGTGGCAGGTGCTGGGCCAATGTGCCAACGCTCAGGAACATGAAGAAAACAGTGTTGAGATCAAACCTGCTGCTGATCCCAGGGCCGAGCAAAGAAAGGTTTGTGTTTACAACCGTCACCTGAGTCTCATTCATGTTTTCTTCATCAAACTGGTCCTTTATCACATCAGTGATGTAGACGAGCAAACTGAGCCACATTAAACAGACCTCAGACTGTTGGACTGAACTGTTACCATGGAGATAGTTTAAGGCTTCACTGTGACAGTTCCAGAAAGTGTTGAATATGAAGGAGGAGGAGGATACAGGATAAAGCTTGGACCAATCACAAGTGTGTTTTCAGACGCTGCAGAAAAGCCTCTCCCAGCTGCTGAATGTGAACAGGCCACAAACTGGGGAAAAAATGACCTCATTAACTCCTCTCAGTGTGAGAAACGCTCCCTCTTTCAGGATGGCTTGGCCCCGAGCTCCTGGTACCTCACTGATTGTTGACTTGGTTAATAGTGTGTCTTTTCCCTCAGACTGTGGGCAGTGAGGTGTGATCCTCCCCCCGCTCTCCTCCGTATAACAGGAGGATGGTCCAGGAGAGCACACCTCTGAGCCTCTGCTCCACTGCTCTCACACGCCGAGCCGCAGAACAGGACAAGAACAGGAGAGGAGAACAGGAGAAGAGGGAGAGGAGAACAGGAGAGGAGAAGAACAGAGAGGAGAGGAGAAGAGGAGAGGAGGAGAGGAGAGGAGAACAGGAGAGGAGAGGAGAGAGGAGAGGAGAAGAGGAGAGGAGAAGAGGAGAACAGGAGAAGAGCACTACAACATCCTCACCAGAGCCAGAGGACTGTGGCCAGGTGAGTCTGAGGCAGGAGATGACAACAAGGTGAGACACACACACACACACCAGACTACAGACAGGTGAGACACACACACTCACACACACCAGACTACAGCCAGGTGAGCCAGACACTCACACACACACTCACACACACACACACACACAGCAGAGCCAGGGGACTGTGGCCAGGTGAGTCAGAGCCAGGGGACTGTGGCCAGGTGAGTCAACCCTCACAATCTTCTGGAAGTCATTAAGTACAACCGTCTTCCAAACAAAAACACATTTGTTTGGCTTCGGTTTTAGTCTCTTGGATTTTACAGTTTCTGTGGTTTTAGGCTTTTGGGTTTGACCGTGTTTAGCTGCTACATGTTTTGGTTTTGGCTTTAGCCGGAGGAGTTAAAGGTGCACTTTGTAACTCGTCCTCCTCGTCTCCATGGAGGTCATGGCTTCGGATGGAATGTTCCACTCTACGGCATTAAGTCACTCGGTTGCCTGAGTGACTTAAAGGCCCCTGGAATCAGTCGCGGTTACACTTGATGTTATTTATTTATGTTGAGTGGTGGACGTTTGTTTGGGCTCACGTGTTTCTTTGTGTTAAAGTTGACCTCCCTCCCAAGACGTCCCATAAAGGATTATCTTTTCTTATTTTATTAAACCAGGCCTGGCCATGTTAGAGGTCAGATCTGTGGAGATCCTCCCCGGTAGAAAAGAAAAAGAAAAGCTTAAGTCTAGAAGGATGGATTAGTTACAGGTGGGCTATTATTTGAAACTATAATACACTTTGGATGTTTAACTCCTCCTTGGATTTCAGC